CCCCAAAACCCCAAAACCCCAAAACCCCAATCTTAGTTTAGATTATTGCAAATTACTCAAGGTCTGCTTTTAGGGTGCCATCAGTATTATATTTCTCAAGTTTGTGTCTGATTTCGACAAGAGCTGTCAAGAACTCTTCATCATCTTGGAATTTCATAAGGATGGAGAATATCTCAGTCAACCTTCCATAATCTAGTTCGTCCTTGGCCGCAATGATGTGCTTCAGAACGGGATAGTAGCTCTTAGCCTCAGCGCCGACCAAGCTATAGCCATAGAGCGTCATCATCAGCTGCATGGGAGATACAGACTCGTTAGTAGTAGAGTAGATATCTTCAACTCTTTTCAGGCAAGACTTTATCAAGATCTTCGACCCATGTCTCAGCTGCCCATATTTGAGAAGTAATACAGTAACATTGTGGAGAGAAACCTTTGACATAATTTGATGGATACGATCCTCAATATTTTCAATAACTTTGAACTTGCCCTTAATATCAGGGTTCATAAAGCCGATCAGAGTGTTAGTGATTTCTTCATCTCCCATTTGGAGTACCCTGTTTGAGAGGGTAGAATCAAGATATGAGTAAATATCAGCATCTGTGTAGCCTACCTCTCCATAAATTCTAGCGAGTGATGCCAACTGTGTCAGCTCAAGTCTAGAGTCTACATAAAATTAGTTTTTACTACTATAACACTTACTTCTGATCTTGTGAACAAATACTAGGAACAACTTCATTCTGTTATGAGGGGCTTTAGAGAACATTTGGAGGACTGGCACAATCTGGGATTCATCAATCTTCTTGATATTAGTGCCAATGACCACATCAAACACATTCCATAGATCTTCAGAAGACTCATACAGCATGTATGCATTCATCAAGGAAATGCAGTCATCAATAGTCAAGGTTTTCCTGACCTCTAAGATTCTCTTCTCAGCGGCTATTGCTAGTTCAGAGTCTTGGCTCCTAACTAGATAAGTGAATAGCACATCTCCAAGCTCTTGTGGAGTGAAGCGGTTCATCTTTTCAGTCACATACGATCTGGAATTGAGCAAGAATTCATCAAGAGTGAGGTTATAATGAGAAATCATCCTACACAGAAGTGAGAAATCCTCAGTCGACATTTTCTTAATATTCTCAGTCGGTATAGTTGAGTCTGTAGAAGATAACCCAAGCAGGCCTTCCTCAAGAGCAGTGGTGAATTCATGATCCTGAAGGCTGAATGCACAAATTATTGAGGTTGAGGTAGCGATCTTGGATAAATCTGTAGAGGAAATTCTGTTTTTGAGCTCATTGGCAATTGCCATGCCGCTTTCTTGAGTAAGTCTCTTATTATTCTTCAATAATTCATAAATTTCAAGAATAGTTTCAGTAGAAGCGTTTTCAAGTACTGTGAGCAGAGCCTGATCTACTCTTCTCCAGACAGATGGACTTGAATCACCCTTTTCAAGGAAGAATCTCATGTAAGTAAGAACTTGAGATCCATTACTGGCATCATCAATATTTCTGAGGGCAACATCAGCGACTTCCTCCATGAAGGGCTGGAACCCATTATGTTCCTCAACTGTGAGAGTGGTGTTAACAATCCGTTCCATGATCTGAGTGATCTCCATAACATCAGGGAGTTGGTTAAAGCTTTGGAATTTGCTTACGATCTGGTCAATGCCACTAGAATTACTAACTCCTGTAGTTGTAGAGCAAAGTCTAGCTCCTAAAGGAGCCATACTTCTGCTGGAATAAAGGCAAACTCCTGGGAGTTTGCTCCTAGCCATCTGTAAACTATGGAAGCTTCTCGCTTGGTGGCTAGGTATGCCACTCCTACTGGCGAGGAGGGTCTTCCCGGTGCTCATCGCGAGCTTAGCAGTCGAACTTTTTGAGACAAATATCCTTCCAAACATTTTTATGGTGATAATAAAATCTTTATATTTAAAGCATTATATGGGGTTTTGGGGTTTTGGGGTTTTGGGGTTTTGGGG